TACATACATACATATTCTGTACATATATATATATGTATATATGTATGTATGTATGTGTATATATATTAATAATGATAACATTTTATATATATTTATGTAATTTATAAAAACTTTCAAACATTTGTCATAAAAGTAAATAAAAAGCGGACAATAAATTTTAAGATATAAATACAATTTAAACCGTAAATATATTAAAATATAAAAATATTTTTTTAAATATATGACTGTGTGGACTTTTATTTACTTTTAAAACTATTGTTTCAAAGTAAATTTATTCATCATAATGTTACAAACATTAAACATATGAAAGGCTTTTATGTAGTTTAAATTAGCATTGAAAACGCATTCTTGTGTGTGTTTCAGGGCTCAGGAGACATTTCTGCAGTGGGACCAGTGCCGTCGTTTCTATAACTTCCTGATGGCCGACAACATGAAGAAGATCATTTTGTCCCACAGGTACTGTTGATCTCGTCCTCAGCGGTGAATCTGACAGACGTCGGTGTGAGTGGTGTTGAGTGGCCGGCTGTGATATTCACTCTTCTGCTGAAACAGTTTTGAGCTCATGTGTTCTTTTGCAATCAAGCCATTAGAAGACCTCAGAATAACTTACACTAGTGCTCTCTCTGATGACACAAAAACAAGATAAATTTACTGTCTTCTGAGTGGTATGAGAATATACTGTATATCTAACCACTGAGCTGTCGGAGTCAGCAAACGTTGTATTTTGTGGTTCAACAGGGGTGTGTTATTCGGAGTGGGCTCCACTAAAATGGTGGATGCGGATCTGAGCCGGCTCTACACTGCCACATCTCTCATGCAGATCGATGACAACATCATGAGGTGAGTGCAGGGAAATTGCTAAATGTGGTTTTTGTAATTCTCTTGTGAAACAGATACAAGACACATTTTGTGACTTGAGATTTGTTATAGACCACACAGTGAACAAATAGTGTGTACCGTTTTTAGAGGTTATTTTAAGTCATGTTCTCCAAAAATGAATCTTCTTTTAGCCTTGTCAAAGATTTTGTGCTGTTATAAAATACTAGGGATGCACCGATACCATTTTTCAGATCTAATCCAATACCAAAAATTCTGAGTATCGGCCGATACCGATACCAGCACTGTTTTTTTTTTTAAATAATCATTGTAGAATTTGTAGACCTGATCATCACTGTTTTGAGTGTTAAACACAATCTACTAAATATAGACAACTTAATTTAAATAAATTTTAAACTTCATGTAAAATAAATGAAAAAATAGATAATCATAATCTATGACAAAAATACTATTATAAACTAGGTTAGTGGTAATTCACCAGCAAAAGTTATTCTAGAAAAATCATGAGTGCACAATACATTTATAAAATCTAAACATTTAGTGAAATAACATTATTTAGTGGGGAACAAATGAACGTGAATAAGTGTAGGACTGAATCTGGTAAAATGTTACGCATTGCTCTTTGTATTGTTGTAAAATACGTTAATGAAAAACAAGTAAATTAAAAGACATTTCTTTTAAATGTATAGCACAGTAATGGAGGCAGCAACATATGATAAATAGGACAGAACAAGAAAAGCTATTAATAATCTTTATTCTATTAATTAATCTTACAATTTAAACCGTAAATATATTAAAATATAAAAATATTTTTTTAAATATATGACTGTGTGGACTTTTATTTACTTTTAAAACTATTGTTTCAAAGTAAATTTATTCATCATAATGTTACAAACATTAAACATATGAAAGGCTTTTATGTAGTTTAAATTAGCATTGAAAACGCATTCTTGTGTGTGTTTCAGGGCTCAGGAGACATTTCTGCAGTGGGACCAGTGCCGTCGTTTCTATAACTTCCTGATGGCCGACAACATGAAGAAGATCATTTTGTCCCACAGGTACTGTTGATCTCGTCCTCAGCGGTGAATCTGACAGACGTCGGTGTGAGTGGTGTTGAGTGGCCGGCTGTGATATTCACTCTTCTGCTGAAACAGTTTTGAGCTCATGTGTTCTTTTGCAATCAAGCCATTAGAAGACCTCAGAATAACTTACACTAGTGCTCTCTCTGATGACACAAAAACAAGATAAATTTACTGTCTTCTGAGTGGTATGAGAATATACTGTATATCTAACCACTGAGCTGTCGGAGTCAGCAAACGTTGTATTTTGTGGTTCAACAGGGGTGTGTTATTCGGAGTGGGCTCCACTAAAATGGTGGATGCGGATCTGAGCCGGCTCTACACTGCCACATCTCTCATGCAGATCGATGACAACATCATGAGGTGAGTGCAGGGAAATTGCTAAATGTGGTTTTTGTAATTCTCTTGTGAAACAGATACAAGACACATTTTGTGACTTGAGATTTGTTATAGACCACACAGTGAACAAATAGTGTGTACCGTTTTTAGAGGTTATTTTAAGTCATGTTCTCCAAAAATGAATCTTCTTTTAGCCTTGTCAAAGATTTTGTGCTGTTATAAAATACTAGGGATGCACCGATACCATTTTTCAGATCTAATCCAATACCAAAAATTCTGAGTATCGGCCGATACCGATACCAGCACTGTTTTTTTTTTTAAATAATCATTGTAGAATTTGTAGACCTGATCATCACTGTTTTGAGTGTTAAACACAATCTACTAAATATAGACAACTTAATTTAAATAAATTTTAAACTTCATGTAAAATAAATGAAAAAATAGATAATCATAATCTATGACAAAAATACTATTATAAACTAGGTTAGTGGTAATTCACCAGCAAAAGTTATTCTAGAAAAATCATGAGTGCACAATACATTTATAAAATCTAAACATTTAGTGAAATAACATTATTTAGTGGGGAACAAATGAACGTGAATAAGTGTAGGACTGAATCTGGTAAAATGTTACGCATTGCTCTTTGTATTGTTGTAAAATACGTTAATGAAAAACAAGTAAATTAAAAGACATTTCTTTTAAATGTATAGCACAGTAATGGAGGCAGCAACATATGATAAATAGGACAGAACAAGAAAAGCTATTAATAATCTTTATTCTATTAATTAATCTTTCATTGCGCAAAAGTATTATAATACGAAAGGCTCCAATACAGAGCAGCACAAAGTGCTTATGCGCAATCCTATGTGTAGAATGATGCGCTTGAAGCAACACGGAGTCACAGCGCAGCGCTTCGCATAGAGAAGTACAAAGCACAAAGGAAAGAGATATTGATGCGTAGTGTATTAAATCTGTGCGATAATTTATTGAGCCTTTTCTTTGAACAGTTTTAAATTTCAGTTACCGCGCTCTTGGAGAGAGTTTCATCGTCTCTAGTAACCGAATGCCGCAGCGGAGACCTTGACTTAATATTCATCTCTACCTCACATTCAGAGCCGATCCTCCCTATACGCAAAATAGGCCTCCTTGCTCTCAAAGTATTATAATACGAAAGGCTCCAATACAGAGCAGCACAAAGTGCTTATGCGCAATCCTATGTGTAGAATGATGCGCTTGAAGCAACACGGAGTCACAGCGCAGCGCTTCGCATAGAGAAGTACAAAGCACAAAGGAAAGAGATATTGATGCGTAGTGTATTAAATCTGTGCGATAATTTATTGAGCCTTTTCTTTGAACAGTTTTAAATTTCAGTTACCGCGCTCTTGGAGAGAGTTTCATCGTCTTGACTAGTAACCGAATGCCGCAGCGGAGACCTTGACTTAATATTCATCTCTACCTCACATTCAGAGCCGATCCTCCCTATACGCAAAATAGGCCTCCTTGCTCTCAAAGATGATTTAATTTTAGTTTTGTTTTTGAATTTGGCCAGCGGTTATGAAAACATGAATGATTAATTCGTTCATAACCACTCTCGTCTGACCGATACCCGATCCAGCAGAAAATAACTGTATCGGAGCCGATACCGATACTGAGTATCGGATCGGTGCATCCTTATAAAATACCATAGTTACTACAGCAAAAGCTGTTACTGTGATCTAATATGAAAACGGTAACACATCGTTACAATCATTAACATTATTTAATGCAGTAACTAACCGGTGTTATTTTTGTATCATTGATATGCTGTAATGGTTTTTTTAATATTTTGAATGAATTTAGATTTTTATATTTTTCATTAAAGTTTTATTAATTTTGTCATTTTATTTTTGTCATTTTATAAGTTTTGGTTCTTTTAAAATGTCTATTATATTACATTTAATCATTAAGCAGGCGCTTTTATCCAAATTATTATTTATTGACTTAATATATAGTTCTTATTCATTTTTATTTCAGTTTTAGTTAAGTACTTCAGGTTAAACGAATAAAACGAGAAACGTTGCCTTAGCAACTGGCTGAAATTTTTTTATATTTTTAGTTTAGCTAACATGCATTTAATTTATGTTTTTATGGTGTTAGTTAATGATAATAACTCTGTAACTAACATTAAGTTACAATGAACGATGCATTTACTTATCAAGTTTAATATGTTCTTTTTTTACATATATACAAATATATTTTCAAATTAACAGAAATGTATTCTGAACAATGATTAACAACATGAAGCGAAGTAAATTTATAAATTAACTAAGAATAATGAATTATGTAAAATAAAAAAGGACATTATCAGTTCTTGATATCTTGATAATGATTATTTACACGCAAGTTCAGTAGAAAAGTTTCCACGTGTTGTATGTTAGTGGGCAGTGTATTCCTAGTATAGCAAGTTTTCAATTTGTTTTCTAGAAAATTCCATGGGCACAACTCTCTGAAGGAGTACTACGAGAAGGAGAGCTGTGTTCATTACATTCATAATGTGAGTAAAATAAGATTGCTATTTAGTGAATAGCTTTAGAGAGTCTATAAGGAAATACTATTATCTATGTGGTGACATCCTGTTTATGACTCTAGTTCTTCTCTCTGTGTTGCAGATAAATGTGCCTCTGCTGCTGGTGAACTCTGGTGACGATCCGCTTGTGCACAACTCACTGCTCACCATTCCTCGCACACTCGCAGGTACAGCAACCATCCGAGTTTCATGCGATTTAAAAAGAAATCTAAAAGATATGGGGAGTGTATTATAAAAAATTATCAATTTGAATCCATCCTCAACTTAATTTTTACATCTTCCAAAGAAAATGTGATTGGTGCTTGACTGTGACGCCATCTATGATATATGAAAAAAATCAAAAAAGATTAATTGCTTAAATTAACAGACTGAAATAAATAATGTATTGCATAATTAATTAATTAACTTATTTATTTTTTGGTGTGCAAATTCCATGTATTCCTTCAGTGTATATATACATTGGATCAATGCACCCAACAAATACTTGAATGCACGTGATTGCATGCAGCTGCATGGCTGGAGTTTGTTTATGAGCAACAGTGAGAGTATTACTTGCCTTAAACACACCACCTAATAGTACTTTTTTCCATTTGAAAACTTTTTTTTTTTTTTTTTGCTGTAGTCTTTTCTGTCCTCTTCTCCTACCACTTCAGCACGCCTACAGCCTATTTCCACACTGATCTTTTATTAGGCAATGACCTCATATACCAAAAACAACCAGATATCCTCCAGAGCCCCACATAGATTTGCACCAGCATGCATGTGACATTCATGAGATCACTATTTGTTCAAACACGCTCATATATACAGTAATATATATATATATATATATATATATATATATATATAATCATAATGTGTCGATGCAAAAAAAAAAAATGTTGTGTGTCATAATGCAAACTATGACAAAGTCTGAGTGTTCGACTCCAAAGGTCAACACTGGAGGAGTATTAAAACCGTTTTAGTTGCTCAGTGGCAGTGTGTTAGGAGGACTTCAGCATCTGGTGTGCAGTGGAAACCTGAATGTTTTGTAGTTAGTGTGATAGTTGTAAAGATTGACAGACATGACTCCTTCAGAGGAAGTGTAGCAATCAGTTGCAATAGACAAAGTCTTGGCTGTATGACGATATATATTTTGCAATTGTAAAAATGGTAGATTTTGCTGTAGCTCTCAAGATATATTTGCACTGCTATCAGTGAGCAGCACAATAAGAGCAACTGTAAACAAGTCATTCATTTTCCCCTTCAGCCCTATTATTTTAGGATAATGAGAATTGCATGATTGTCTCAATGCACAAATGTAATGGTCCTCAAAATAAGCTTAATTTCTTCTTTCTTTCATTGGTTTTTGGATTGAAATATGACGTTATTGACCGGTTTTGTGAGATTCACCCAGCTGGCTTATTAAAACGACACACGAACCTTACTGTACACAACACATGAGTTTATGGGAAGTGAGTGTAATGCAGGCACTATGTGCTTATTGATATGACCGGCGCGCTGTTTGAGTGAATATTGTCATTTGATATTTGAGTTTTTGGTCTGGTGACCATTTAAGCACAGGCTAGCATTCATGTCACTCTAACTAGACCTTGTCAAGTATACCATAGTGTGAAACTTCATTAATCATGACGCCTTGTCGGTTGAATCCAAGTCACAATCCTAGTCAATGCATTTTTGTTTAGCACTTTTATATGACGTTTGCCATACGATCTGGGACTAGGCGACAATTTTAAATCTAGAAATGAGAAAGGGCAACAAGAGGGAGAGAGGAAGCCTTGAATGAACTCTCGTGATAAGCAAAACGCCTCCATCGCGGGCCGTCCCACAAGCACTACGACCCAGTTTTAGATGGCAAATCCCATTCCGCTGAAGAGCAGCACACGTTGTTGCTGCAGTATTGACTGTAGTCAATGTTGTTTGTGGAGAACCATTGAAGTCGGTAGATTTAGATTGTGTAACATGTTGATTTGGGACCCAGTGGGAGACACCAGTGCACTTCATGGTGCGCGTCTGTGAAAACTGGTTACTTAAAGGGATTTGTGCTGTAGTATCGTTTTAGGTTTTTTTCTTTGTTGTTCATTTTTGTGCAATTACTTGATGCATTTGTTTCTTTACTCTCGGAATCAAGACTTGTCTGAAATGGAACTGATCTTGTTACGCATCAAAAGAATCTAATGCAGAGGGGAAAATATATCAGTTTAAATTTGAAGGGAACATTCAAAGTGTTGTTTCCAAAGGCTTGTGCGGAAACTTTAACGCAGCAGTTTAGAGCAGTTAGACTTGCTTTGTTTCAGGGAAGCTGTCATACATATAAATCTCACAAAATGGCTAGGTAATATTTCACCACACAATAAAAAAAGTAAAAAAAAAAAAAAAAGCATTTTGTTTTAAGAAAATTATTCATATTTTTAGGACTTTTCTTTTTGAATAATTGACATTATTTTCATGATAATTAGGCACATTTTTCTTCCCACTTTACTTTGTATTTCTCAAATCTCCAAAAATGTGTAATTATTGTAACATACATTTTCTTACAGTAAATACGATATATCTACTATATATACAAATAATCTTCATTATAAAATGTTTTATTTTTTTTTTGGGGGGGGGGGGGTGAAATATTACTCTGCCATTCCTGGACATGTTTTGTGAGATTCTGTAATCTTTATTAATTTATTATCATGCTGCAGCTGTGGAAGAAAATTTATTATTTGTGTTTCCAAGGGGGGGAAAAACTGAAAAAGCCACTCGACGACCAAAAAAACTATCTAATAACCTATGTAACATTTAGTATACATGACAGTTGAGTAAAGATTGTCACTGGTTGCCAAAACTCGGTCATGTGTTGAGAACTATGTGCATTTATAACATACATAATTGCCTTCATTATTAGTGTTTAGCCGTCAATATTGATGCATCTTCTTAAAGGAGAAAGTGTCACTTTCAGTGTTACACGTGTCAAAAGACTTTTTATCAGTTGAAAGACGCCCCCTGTGGGTTATGATCTGTAGGTAAATGTTAACTTTCACACTCTACTGGAACAGTTTATAAAATCCCATCCAGATATTTAGTATTTGTTGCTTACTAGGAAGAGAGTTTACCTCCCCTCTGTTAGGTTTTGTTCTGTAAGTCTCCGTATTCTTCTTGTCTTATTTCTTGAATCTTTGGAAAACCGCAAAATGGTGTTGTAAACGTGAGTCTGAAAGCTCCCGGTTGGGAGTCATTGTTCGGCTGTTTCCGGCGATCAGATCTGTTTGAACTTTTGCACCAGCACTAATTCAATCTTTGCTGAAAGTCGATCCAGTTTGCCTTACAGAATGTCTCCCACTTACTTTTTGCACAGAAAACACAGGCTTATGTTGTACATCCTCTACAAACATTAACCAAAATTGTTTGTTTTTGTATTTTACATTAATTTTTGTTCTCTTATGTACAAAAGTATGATTATAAATGAGTGTATGTGAATGTTTGCATCATATCTGCTTATGAAAACTACCAACAAACTTGCTTTGTCAGGTAAAAAGCTAAATGTGTTTAGTTATATAATGATGGTTTATGGAAACCAGGGAACTTTCATTTGTTTGACGATCAGCAATAACGCTTTGAATAATTTTTTTCTCTTTTTCTCTACGCCAAACTGAGATGAATAGCTCAAAGAAAATATTGTGTCAAATGGAGTTTCGAGAAAATGTATTCATGCTGCTGTCACAAATAGGAATTTTAAAAGGAAAGTGAAAGGCCATATGTATTAAAAAAAAAAAGTCTATTTGCGGAATACAGAGTAGAATAATCCCAAAGCTTTGAGACTGACACTACCCAATGTCACTGTAATTTCACTTTAGGGATTATTCACTGAAGATCATCAAATCTGTTCCTACTGTTCTGACCCACATTCTCATCACGGTTTATTGTGTTTTTGAATGTCATTTTTCATGACCTCAAAACCCCATGCAGCATAATATCTCAATCACTGGTGTGTTTTTGATTTGGAAAACCAATGGTGTGTGATTGAATAATTTATTATTACAAGAATGCTTATTGTGTTCCAGAAATAAATTATTTTCTTGTTTAAAAAACAAATTGCTGTTATGTGATTTTTCTCCAGTAGAGATCTTTTATTAGGGATATTTATTGTTTTTTTTATTTTTATTTTTTCTTTTAAATATGTCGGTATTAACTCTTTCAGTCAAACAACATATATACCCACTGTATATATAAAATATAAAATCTGTCATTTACAGGCTAAATTATATGTTCAACACCATTCAAACTTAAAGGGGTCATAGGATGCCCATTTTCCACATGTTGATCGATCGGCTCGATTTGAGAAAGGGGAAAACATTTAACCAGATTAAAAAAAAACACTGGGTGGATTTTAACATTATAGGGTGGTTGTGTACACACACTGCCAACACACATTTCAGTTCAAACTACTTGTAAAAGTGCATGTAGCATCCTATGACCCCTTTAAATTAAAAAGTCTTCTGCGCACCAAGGCTGCATTTATTTGATCAAAAATAGTCAAAACTATTTTAATATATCTTAAAGTAATTTATTCCTTTGATGGCAAAGCTGAATTTTCAGCATCATTACTCCAGTCTTCAGTGTCACATGATCCTTCAGAAGTCATTCTGATATGCTGATTTGCTGCTCATGAAACTTTTCTTATTCTGAAAACAGTTTTGCAGCTTAATATTTTAGAATTTTTCAGAATTTCCTTAACAAAGTTCGAAAGAACAGCATTTATTGGAATATTTTTTTCTATTCTACATGTCTTACTGTCATTTTTTTTCAATATAATTGCTTCCAACTGCATCCTTGCTGAATAAGTATACTAATTTATTTTTAAAAAGTCTTACTGATACCAAACACTTGAACACCAGTCCAGTCTGTGCTGAAACGCTACTGTCAATCAAACTATCGTGGGAGGGGCCTGTCTGTGTGACATCACACAGACAGGCATCTGAGATCGGCTCGATTTGAGAAAGGGGAAAACATTTAACCAGATTAAAAAAAAACACTGGGTGGATTTTAACATTATAGGGTGGTTGTGTACACACACTGCCAACACACATTTCAGTTCAAACTACTTGTAAAAGTGCATGTAGCATCCTATGACCCCTTTAAATTAAAAAGTCTTCTGCGCACCAAGGCTGCATTTATT